GGGGGGGGGCGAGCTCGTAAAAATTGGAGCTTATGAAAACCCCTGCCTTATCTAGCGAATCGCGAGGTAGATCGGGGCCGTCCGATACCAGCGGATGGAGCGTTTTTTTTTTTTTTTTTTTTTTTTTTTTTTTTTTACCGCTAATTTTTCGTAAATCACGTCTGACCTAACGATTGACTGTACTACTTGTGCTCATAATAATTTACCCGCGCACGATTTTAAAATTGTGTTCATGGGGGGGGGGGGATATTTTATCTTCAAAACTGAATTATCTTGGTGATGAATAAAAGGTGCTAAATCGAAAATCGTAATCTTGAATCTACCTATTGTTTTTCGTGCATAATCATACGGTGTCATTCTTCGCGTGTAGTGAAAAATGATTATTATGATAATAAATTGAGCTTCCTTTGTTGAACGTGATTTTAATTTTACTCATTATCCTCGCGAACGAGATTCATTGTATTAAATCGCAATAAATCGTACGGAAGGAAAAATCAGTAGTAACATCACGATTCGGTCAGACGTGAGAAAAAAAAAGGAGAATTACTAACCCACGTATACACAATGTGTCGTACCTACGTGCATCCACCAGCGAGAACTCGAAGAGGCGGACGAAGACGGTCGCCAACACGAACGAGCCGCGATGGGACCAAACGTTCGTTTACAACGGCATCAGGTGGTCCGAGCTGAGGCAGCGCTCGCTCGAGATCACCGTCTGGGATTACGATCTGCGCTTCGGTGCCAACGACTTTCTCGGCGAGATTGTCATCAGCCTGGCCGTCTCGTCCCTCAACGACGAGCTCGAGTGGCACTATCTCGTGGCGCACGACGAGCATCGGCAACCCGGGTAGGCGCATCATCCTTTTCACTCTTATCGGGGTCGAGTGCCGTCGACTCCCCCTCCTCTCTTTTATTAAATCTCAAACAATCGCCCTTTCTCTCTCTTCCTCTGTCACGCGAGACTGCACCGTTTTATTCTTCATACGTATATTGTAACACACGTTGGCTCGACAGTAGGTATTATCAGGAGACGACAGAGGACGTGGTGACAACGCCGGGCGACTGCCACCTCAGTCCGCCGTCGACGACCTCGAGGCTGAGCGACTCCGACACGTCCGAGTGCGACATAACCGACTGCGATGGCTCGAGAGAGCACAGGAGGACGGCCGACGGCGCCAGCATCAGCAGTATCGGTAGCTCCTCCAGGTAAGCCACCGGCGATCATCATTCGTGCGCAACGCAAGCGACGATCACTGCTTTTTGTTCTTCTTACGGGACAGTTTAACCAAACTACGTGCCCTTTATTACAATTTTACAATATTCGATACATATCACGATACCTTGTACCATACATAATGTATACACGGGAGTGTGCTGATGCAGAATTTGATTATTAATGTTTTTTCTTTTTTTTTTTTTTTTTTGTTGAGCTTTTTTCCAAAGAAAATATCGTAAAATCGCGACTCAGACAAGCAGGTCTCGCCAATGTACAGTATTGCAAAAGAAGCCAAACCGAAGCAGTTCTTGCATATCTTACTTTCATCTTGGCTCGGCGACAAAATTACTTTGATTTACGGGTATATTTTCCACTGACATAGGCATGAGTATTTGGCACGTGAAATCGTAGGTATTGCTGCTATATATATATACACGGGTGATAAAACAAAACGAGCTATTTAAACAATCGGACGTATGCTCTCGTGTGATCCGCTAACAAAACCGGGAAAACGGTGTTACGTGTTGCGAGGGAAACAGAGTGTTTTCTCCTACACGAGGGGTATTTATTGCGTTTGAAGTTCCCGAGAACGGAGAGGCGGAGGAAAAGTTTTGCGCCGCTGCTGCGGTACGGCGATGAATAAAATTATCGTTGGCGAAGTTGAGTTACGAGCGTTTACGTTTTCTTTTCCTCCTGGTGCCCCTCTGCGCCCTCCGTCTAATTTATAGAGACTCAAAGTTTTGCTAATTCTATTGAAAAAAAATGAAAAAAAAAAAAAAAAATTGAAAAAAAAATCTAATAGGTTAACGAACACAAGTATCATCAAATAAATCGAGAGAAAAAAAAAACGATGCACACGAAACGCAAGCATTTGCGCTGGCAAGCGCGCCCCAGGGGTAATGTTTGTCAAACCTTATTCGCAATCCGCGTCATCGAGCACGAAACAGCACCGGGAAACTTTTTCCGCCAGACATTACTCATCCTCTCCCCCCCCTCGCACCGTATACTTCGTGACTTCCTTCGACCCCCCTTGCCCCTGGCGCTAATAATTATGCAGTTCCGCCTAATTCGCCCCGGTGAAATTAACGGCGTCGCTGAAAACTCTACATGTACATACTGCACGCGCGGCGTCGTATCTCGTTCTTCGCTTCAGTTATACGAACTCCTTGCATGACATCCTGGCGGACGGGAAATGTCCTTCATTAAATTTGACGCTTGGCGGAGTAGGGGGGGGGGAAAGCGAGGGAGTATTGCGTTTGCTATCGTGTTTCGAATTTAATTGGGTTGATAATATTTTATAGCCTTTGATCCCGGTGGGAGCGGTCATACATCTGGCACGGGAAATCCAATAAGTAGATGAGATACGCGTTTGGTCAGACATGGCCGTTTTTTTTTTTTCCTGGAAGCGAGGAAGCTGGAACGAAAAAAAAAAAAAAAAAAAAAAAAAATAGTTGATGAGTAACATAGCTTGGACGGACAGGTCGCGTTAAAAGTACCTTTGGGCCGGCGAATCAGTTGCATTTCTTTCTGTGAAGTCGCCGTCAAAACAATATACCACGACAGACAGACAGACAGATGGGCAGTTGGAGATGGAGACAAAGATCGAAAAGGCATTAAAATAGCTGGTGTACGATACAAAAGGGAAAAGAGGAAAAGGTAGGCGAATCGCATCGAAGCTGCGTGTGGAAGGTTACGTGGGAGAGAGGGCATCAGCGGCGTGTGTGCGCTAAGCCAAGTTATAAAACTGGGCAACAAGCCAATTGACATACCAGTTGGCTCGCGACCGCCGTCCGCTGCGGACTGTCTTTCCCCGCCAGTGTCTACTCTCCTCCTTCATCCCCCTTTTTTTGTTCGCATACATATACCATCCAAACTTTTCGCGGACACGTTCAGCCGCGCTCGATTTTCCGATCCACCGACGTGAGAAACACCACAATTACCACCACCTACGCGTATATACATGTACGCGGTGTAGAAGCGAGCGGGCCACACTCTGCTCTTAATCACCGGATTAATCCCCCCGCGTCGTCGTATTGTTTGCCCCGCAGCAGCCGTGGCCTCTCGGCGCTTTTTCCGCTGCCGGTGAATGGAGCGCAGATATCACACGTTGCACTGGCACAGATGAAGCCTAGCGATGGTGTCCATTGTTTTCCTTTGTTTTTCATGGTGTCGACGGTCGTTGAGTTTGCTGGTTCCCAGTGGTGCGAGACACGTGCGCGCGCGCTAATGGCAGCCCCTTGGTTGTCGCAGTTAGTCGATCCTAGAAACGGTGCGTGCAAACAAACAAAATCTGTTACTTGAGAGAATTTCACTGGCAAAGGGGGAGTCCCAGTGTCCCGGAGCCATATATTTTTGCGAAGGAAAAAAAAAAAGACTATAACGGATCACTATCATGGTAGTAGTGATGACTCGATGCGAGGCCTGAAGCGAAGGAAAAAAAAAACAAAAAACCAACATGCGGAACGACGAGTTAATGATTATACGCACAAGGACAACGAGGACTACTTATCCATTCATCGGATGACGCTGTCGCGTTGAAAACGGTGCGATTCAGCGCAAAACGTGAAAAAAAAAACAAAAAACAGTGCAGTCCTCCATGACGTATCGAATAAGGTTCTCCGAATTAACATACATACATCCATACACATTCGAGTCGGTTCAATCGCTCGTTAACCATCGCCTTGGTATGGCTTTTTTTTTCCACACACACACGCACACCCTGCAGATGCACGTATATACGTATACTTATTCGAAAAATCGCGCATTCCGGTCGCACGCGCGTTCTCGCTCTGCATGTCACGCATGTGTAATTTTCTCGCCACCTCCCCCTATTCTCCTCGAACACAAGTTACGACATAATGTTGACTCTTTTATGAAAAGCGCGAAATTCGTGATCCGCCTCCGGATGGCTTCATAATAAAACTGCGCTCCCCTTCTATCTCTCTTTCTCTTTTGATTTCGTTCGTCGGGAGAGCACTGTAAAATAAATTAAATTAAAATAAAAGTCCAAATGAGGGCTGCACGGAGGGGAGGGGGAGTTGCGTCTAGACCGTGAAATACAGAACAGTGGCTGCATTTTCTCGATCGGGGAGAAGGAGGAGAACGAGAAAAAACGGTCTCCTCATCCCCTTGCAAGAGAGAGAGAGATGGGGGAGGGGGGGGGGAGTAGAGCCGAAGGCTGCGATGCGGCAACGAATGCGCCGCTAGCCAACCTCACCTCTACTCACTACCACCATCGCTCGGCTCCAACCCTCTCCCAGTATTAAACTTACTTGCATGCATCCATCCATCCACATCCATCCCCTCTTTTTCTGCAACCTCGCTCACTCATACGTACACCACCCACCTGTGCGTGTGATATCTGCGCGCTGCTGCACATGCACCACCACCACCCCCGCTGTTACCTCCTCTCCCTCCTCCTTCTTCTCTATACATCATGTACGGCACACACCTACACGCTCACTCTGTGGCGGTGGTGGTGGTGGTAGTAGTAGTAGTGTTGGTATAGTACAACGCCAGTGGGGTAGCATTGGAAGCAGCAGCAGCACTGGCAGTAGTGGAGGAGTGTCAGTAGGGGCAGTAGCTTCTATACCTTATCTGCACATATTTAATAAAACGTTCAATATGCCCTAATGGGATAACCACTAGCAGCGGGGTTTCTCGTCGCGCGATGCTGCCCTGCCGCCGTCGTGGACTGACAAATCCATTCGTGCACCCCGAAGACATCGGGCCATCAAAGAGTCGCGTGCAACTCGCGTTTGCGCTCATTAATCCGTGCGAGAGATAGTCGCGTGGTGTTTGGGGTCTCTAACTTGCGTGTCCGCGATGCACGAGGTGGATGGTACGGCGGACGCGCGTCCAAGGGTCGTTGCTGCTGCTACTACTACCGCTGCTGCTGCTGTGCCTTGATAATCATATACATACATAACAAATAGACCGGCCACGATGCTCATAAGGTTATAAAAGATCAAGTGTACCCTTCTATATATATTTTTTTTTTCTCTTATTGGTGATTTTGGAAAAGTGATATTTTTCGCAGTGGTTCTAGGTTTTTTTTTTTTTTTTTTTTTTTTTTTTTTTTTTTTTTTTTTTTTTTTTTTTTTTT